AAAAATTTTTTAATTAATCTTTTAAATTCTATATAGATCAAATGCCACTATCAATGATTAAAGCATTTGGTTTATTAAAAACAGCATGCGCAATGGTAAATATACAATTTGGACTTGAAGAATAAATTTCGAATGCAGTTACAGAAGCATGTGATGATATTATTCATGAAAAATTAAACAATCAATTTCCCTTGAGTATTTGGCAAACAGTATCCCGTACATAAACAAATGTGAATGTTAATGAAGTAATTCCCAATCGAGCAATTGAAATTCTTGGAGATATTATAGAAAGTAAAACACCTGTTCATCCAACTGCTCATGTTAATAAAAACCAAAGTTCAGATCAGAGATGAACGAGCCGCGGTGTAACACCGCCCCGCCCCGTCCCACCGCGCAGGCGAGGCGGTGCGAAAACTTGACGGGGCGGGGCGGTGACGGTGCATGACGAAATTTCGCGGTTTCCCCGCCTTTATATAACCTTGATTTTTTAAATAAACTTAGATCTTTAGAGACATCTTTCTAAAACTTTTAATACTTTTTCACACAAAACTAATCAGTAAAAAGAAGCTTGTTAGTACAGCTCCAAAGGAGCTAAAATGTGGAACCCACGTATATTTTCAAAGTTTTTTATTCTAATGCCTAATTTTTAAATTGTAAAAAAACCTTTTTTTTCGAATACGCATGAAATAATTGATATATTATATAAAAACTAGAGCCTTTTATGCGCAGTTGCTGAGGTCTGTAAAGGGGCATGTCTATAATTGGGGTGGGTGTGAGTGTATAGGTCTTCTCTTTATTCACACCCACCCACATCCACACTCTTTTTTCGCTGACATCAAAATAGCTGGAAAAACCAATTTTTTCATTTTTTGTAATTCTTATAACTCACACAAAGAACATCCAACCCGCGAAATATTTTAACCCTAGACCCTTGCGATCTAACCCTACAAACTGACAAAATTTGAGGCTATGTTAGGAGTACCCCCTTCCGTCCCTTAACACTGGAAAAAAGCTGCGATAATGACTTTCGACGCTCGAGGAACAAAGAAATTGCAGCGCGATTGTGAGTATACTCTGTGTAGGTATGAGTATCGGTCAAAAGAAGACTGGCATTCACATCCACACTGCATAAATCTATCGATCTGACAGAACGATATGCAAATATTGAAGTCAACTCTAACCAACGACACCTGAATCAAGAACAGACTTCAACTTATCCAAGCATCTCGACCTCACCGCCTATGCTCTCAGAAGGTCGATGTTCTACAAAGCCATTTAAATTCTTGTAGAAACGTATGAATTGACCAGTTTTTAAAAGCTGAAAATAAACATTATTTTGTAGTGATTCTTCCTCGAAAACTGTCATCCACCACTCCCAAAAACATTCCTATGGATGTTCCTGCCATCATTCCCTATGAGATTCGATTTTCCATGGTAAACCATTATTTAATTAAATATGCAATTTATTTACGTAAAATACTTTACAATATACACCGAGAAAGTAATCTTTATAAAGTAAAAATGATTGTATACCAATAAAGCAAAAAAATAGTACAACAATTATATCACTGTTCATATTGCAGAATAATTTTGATTTTTAGCGTCGTGCACTATTCATACTACGGCTTGTATGTGGATCTCCATATCCAATACGAGACATAGATGATGTTGATGATATATAATTATCATAAGTATCACTACTACTAGGTATTGTTTTCCTACAAATCTAAATTAATTTTTCAAATAGATTATTTTAAACTTACTTTTTTTTCTTGCGTTTTTCAAGTGGAATATTTCTGTAATAAAAATTGAATTAAATTATTTAAAATAAAAATGAATTTATTTTTAGCTACTTGGCATCTAATTCAATATTTTCTTCATCT